AAGGGGGGGGGAAAAGGGGGGGGGGGGGGGGGCAAGGGGTAAGGGGGCTACCTGACGCCTCAGATTTATTTTCTCTTCTGTAGCAGTGAGGGGGGAGAAAATTCAAGGACAATTTCCAATAATTAGATCCTATACCTGGAAAATTACACCAAATTTATAAGTTTCCATATACAGTATCTAATTATTGGGGGGGTCAACTTACATCTGCATAAATATGGTATCTCCATTTATTGTAACTTCCAGCTTTCACACAGCTCTATCAAATCAAATGGCAAGCCACTACAGTAAGGCAATAGCCCAAAGCAAAAATTCAGACACTGAGCCATGGGTGGAGACATGACCCTGTAGTTTTGCTTAAAGGGAAAAGATTCTATGCCACCTCTTCAAGTCCTTCACACAGCTATCATTTCTTCTTCTGCTTTTGAATATGTTATATTTGGATAATGGCTATGATTACACTAGAAAAAGCTGTAGCCATATTTAGTAGGAATATAACCAAGATGCAGCTGTAATAAAGTCCATAGAGAGATTATTAATGCTTTAAGCTGCAGTAAGGACAGGGAACAAGTGTTTTAATATCAAAAAAGCAGGATGACAGTGGTAAAATGCTAATTGCTGGCAATCCCGCCATTGCTAGCCTCACTAGATTCATAGCAGTGTTACAGCAAATACACTGAGATTTTCAGAAACTGGAACAGAAACACACCCAGATTTACCATTAACATAATTCCTTGCACTGAAATCCCAGTGAATAGTGCAATAAAATTTCATTTTGCTTGAAGTGGTACTGGTAATGGTTTATTTACAGCTTTCACTAAAACAATACAATAAAATGAATAATAACAATTGTATGTGCTCTAATAGCAATATTTATATAATTTTGCTAAATGCATGCAATAAGATTATCCATTTTACCAGCTTACACAAAATTAAGACAGTACACAGTATACGATAATACAAAAAAGAGATGAAAACGAAGCCATAAAATAAGACAGGGGAATTCTATTTAATTTCGGTGCTCATTTTTTATGCAAATAATGCAAATATAATTAATAAGTATAGGACAGGCTCCAAATTACTAAAGAGAAGCCAAATTGTTTTTCTTCATTAGCCCAGAGTTTTAAATTTTTCATTAATGGAAAGATCCATTTTCCTCTTATTTCTTCAAACAACAAATCACTGTTTTTGGTCTTATAGAAGTCATCTATGCTATTTTTTCCCACAAGAACATATTCTTTCTGAATATGGGGTCCAACCCCACCTTCCCTGACAACTGCAGATCTCAGAGTGAATTGCAGTCTAGTAATGGCCTCTCATTGTTTGTAGTTTTGTACTACAGATAGGTGGGTTTATAGGCTAAAAAGCAGGATAAGTTCTGTTTAGGTTTGCTTAACCAGTAGCCATATGCATTCCATGCTGGCTGGAGATTGCTGCCTGGGTAGTTCTGGGGTTAGTTTTCTATAAAGATTTTAGATTCACAGGTGCATGGGTCAAGCTCACCTTTGCATGGTCTCCTCAAATTTGTCACCTTTGAGGGGACACTAGACAGGAAACTTGAGGGATCTCTCCCCAAAAGATGAGAATAGTAGTAATCAATGTTTATATCCTCATTATCATTATAAATAAATACAAAATGTGCCAGAAAATGGAGTATTGGGCCAAAAATGTCTACTTTAGAAATATACATAGTTGTATTTAATATTTTGGGAGATCATTACTAAGTGCCACAGAATCTAAAAGTGGACTACATTAAGTGTTCATTCTTCCGTAACTACATTTTAATACATGCATTTAATACCAATAGAAATGCTTCAGTCATTGGCTGTGTCTACATGAGATGCCGACTATGCACCTGTTACTGTGCAGTAGCGTCTCTGCATGGCTTCCGGGTGGACACTTGACTGTGCAGTAGCTCATTACTACTGTGCAGTAGCATCACATCATGGTTCATGCAGACACAGTCATTATGTACTACAATAACACAGGGAAGAGACTATAACAGTAGACCAGTTTCAGCACAAACATTACTAATGCTAATACTAGAAAGGACAGCGCATGCCCATTTGAAAAAGGTGCTTCCATCAAAAGGCTTTTACAAAGTGTGACAAGAGATCAGTATCATAAATCTAACAGAATAACATTCAGATAACAGTGAAAGGACACAAGACACCAACAACCATTTGGACAAAATGGTACTGAACTGTCAAATAGATGATTCCGTGTTCTTCCATATCTTTAACACATTTCATATTTCATAGTTTCTGAACTTCCTCAGAAGGTCTGAAGGGGCATCACCTGACCAGCGGAAACGCAAGTGCCAGTAATTTGCCTCTGAAAATCCTACAGGAAAATAAAAGGGAAAGAGCAATAGAGTTTTCAGAAAAAAAGTTCCAACTTAGCTAAGGTAGGATTTGATTGCCATAAGTAAAATACAACTCAAAAGTAATTAAATTTCAGTCTTTTGTCTAGTTCAAAAGCTAACAAATTAAAAAAAAATATTAAGTGAATACTAAAGTATAGCTCCCTATATCAAAAAGCTAAAGCTTACTGTTAGATTTATTTTAAGACCTGTCATTAAGACTGAAATAATGATGTGTAGCTTTTCCATCTGTCAGAAGACAGGAACCCCCAAAATATCTTATCCTATAAATGGGACCCAATACACTCAAACCCATGGCGGAACCAGGGCCAAAACATAAAATACTAACAGCCCCCAAATGCAGTATAAAACACCAAAAATCAACATGAAGCCAGGAGGGTAAATGCACTAGTATTCCTATTTCCTTATGTAAATTTAATAACTGATAGCCTTTATTCTGCTTCTGTTCGTATCTATGGAAAATTTTCCATTGACTTGAATGGTGCAAAAGTCCTGCATCTGTTCTGCCGTTGCAATAATGGTCCAAAAAACTGAAACCTGGAACACATGATAACAGAATAGATAGAGATAGCAACAAAAGTAATGTTAGTTTAATTTATGTTGGTATTTGTATAGATTTGGAAACCATATTTATATCACACTGAAACTGATCTGAAAAGTATTGGGATTATTTGTATATATTTATCCTGAATATGGATTTTACAAACTGGTGTTTGACTATTCCTTGTCTTATATTAGTATGATTGTACTTTCCAGTTTATTTGTCTTTCTTTAAAAAAATCTTTACTCACCTGAGAATATTACTTTCTCCCTAACAAAACTGATTATATATTTTGTTTACTCTCTAAATCTTTCACAGTCAAGTTTTGGAAGACAAATAAGGAGGTCTACTAATCTCTGCAACAGCAGGAAAAGTGAGAGAGGCCCTTGCGCAACGCTCCACAGAAAAAGAGCAATCCTTACTTCTTCATCAATATCTTTTAATGGAAAGTTCCTTTCTTAACATCAGATTTGGTAAAGATAAACATAATGACAAAAAGGAAAAAACCCATAATAGGTAGATAATTTCTTTAGTTCTTTTAGCAAGTTTATCTATGTGAAAATAACTTTTTATAGCAGTATGAATGGAAAAAAAATACAAGTCCTTGTAAACTGCAAGCATGTTACACAGGAAATCTTTCAGACTTAATCTACGGAATGTCCAAAACACAATTATTTGGTTAACCACATTGTACCCTATTGCAAAAATATTCCTGGATGAAAGAATGCCAAGCAACACTAACACAGCCTTTACGAAAGCTAATCTGCATTAGAAACAACAAAAACCCTATAACTTTTGTATATTAAACACCATTTCAGTTTTGACTGAAAACTAGACTATGGTTTAGTGAAGGGCTGGGCAAAACATGGCCTGTTGCCAGATCCAGCCTGCCAAGGGATTTTATCTGGCCTGTGGCGGGTCCCTCAGCTCCACCCAGCCCAGGCCATGGCGCATGCGACCAGTCCCGCTACCCTCAGGTGCGCTGCAGGTCTGGGGCAGCATGGCGACCAGATTCATCTTCCCAGCAGCTGTGGCTCCTTCCAACTGCTGCTGCCAGTGTCACCACCATTGCTAGGCCCAGCCCTGCTGCCCAGGGATCCTGGCTAATCCACCTTGCACTGGATAAAGAAGATGGGCAGACAGGGTCTCCAAGAAGACCAGGCCAAGACCCTCACAGGCAGGGCATGCTTGGCTGGATGGATGGGATGGGGCTATAGGCAGGGGGAGCAGGGAGTGGGACAGGTGGGCAGGGCTGGGGCTGGGGCTAGGGCCAGGATCATGGGGTAATAACAGCATGAAGCCATGCTGGAAGTGGACCATGGCTCTGCCCCATGCCCTGGGCCTTCACTGTTACTGCTCCACAATCACAATCCCAGCCCTGGCTTCCTGTCCTGATCCCAGACACTGCTCCTTGCCCACCTTTGGCCCCAACCCATCCACCCAGCCAAGTACACCCTGCCCACGGGAGTCCCGGGACAATCTCCGTGGAGACCCCGCCATACCTGCCCGCTTTGTCTGACGGCCTCAAACCAGTCTAATAATCTACCACTTAGGGAGTTTTGGTGAGCTGCTGCAGGCCGGGGTAGGGGTGAGGGAGGGAGGAGATGCTGACCCAGCCCACAACAGCTCACCAAAACTCCCTAACTGGCCCTCCAGCCAAAATAACTTCCCACCCCTGTTTTAGTAAATTTATCTAATATGGGGTTTTTTACAATTAAGTCTAGCAACATTTAAAAAAACACACAATAACCAATATCAAATGAGTCATGAAGACAGACTAAGTAGTGCAATGAAGAACAGCACAAGAAAAATATCAGAGCTTAAAACACATATCTAAAAAAGTTTAAGATAATGATACTTGCAAGGAGAAATACAGATCATGGGGAATGAGATTACATTTTATGCTTTGTATTCTTTGCAAACAGCAAAATGGCAATACTGATTCAACATGGCTTATAATACTTGCTGAACTGTTAAATACCATAATCTTTTAAATGTTAAACCTCCAGTTACACTTCACATAAATGTATAATTTCTTATCTAATTTCAACATTCTGCAGGAGTCTGTGTTTAAACAATGCTTGACTGACTCTCTCACACCTCAGGTTTGCTTGTTATTGAATCAGGAAGTTAAAAAATGGTATTTGGATAAATAACAGTTCTGAGGGCATCCTACCATGGGCGTCTTTAAGAGGAGGTTAGATGAACACCTTGCTGGGGTCATTTGACCCCAGTACTCTTTCCTGCCATGGCAGGGGGTCGGACTTGATGATCTGCTCAGGTCCCTTCTGACCCTACAAACTATGAAACTATAAAACTATGAATAGAGGATTATGAAATTATTGTAGGATCAAGTAGAAAACAAAAGGTCAATTGTAATGGAAAAAAGGTTTGATTCCAACATATAATGCCACCAAGAAAAAGGAAATACTAGCAATGTCCAAGTGCATCCTTTTTATATAAATATGTACTTTAGTATAAACTTAATTTTTAAAAATTTTTAATTAAGTATGAAAGAGCCATTCACATCTTTGTTCAGTTGTATCTCAGGTAACTTCCATGTGTTGACAGTTTGACATTTCACATTTATTTTTGAAAAAGTCAATGTGTTATCTTTCAGTGCTTTTAAAATGTGTTTTCATGTTTTCTTTCATAACATTATATTTCATAATGTGCACAAAATGAAAAAGCCCAAATGGAATTTTTCAACTTTTGATTTTGGCAGAAAAGCCCCCCAAAATTATCATTTCAGCTTTACCCAACATTTATTTTCTTTGTGGCCTGTTAACCAAAAAATCAATTATTCACATGGCTTTAAAGAAAAAAATTGCAAAACTAATGGAATCAATTTCAGGTAGTAAGTCCGGATACTAAAATCTTTCATATCACCAATTCCACTTACTTGGAGAGTCTGGATTCTTTGGTGATTGTGGATTCATGTCAGAAGTCTCAGAATCTTCTTGCTCCCTTCTGTCACCCAAAAATCCCTCCTTATTGTTTTCCGGCTGTTGGGCCCAAATCTCATTAGTTGTGCTGTTGCCTTTAGCCAGATTTGGTGCTTCCAGCATTTGATCTTTCTTATTTGTAACAGCCCAGTGCATAGACTGAATAAATGAAAAAACAAATAAAAGTAAAACATTGTTCTACCAGTTTTCCATATCAGAGAATTTGCTTACTCCCCACTATTAGGATTTGGTCCTGCATGATCCTGTGCATCTTTGACTACCATTCACTTTAACTGGACAGCAGACACTCAGGGCCATGTAGAATTAGGTCCTAGGAGGCATACCCAAACCTTTTCCAGGGCAGCAAATTAGTGAAAACAATTTCTGAGAACACGCATCTGCAAAGCACCACATACCAAATACCTTTCTACGTATACCTAATTAAAAATAACAACAAAATCTACAGGTCTCTCTCAATTTGAGAGACAGCATGAAAGAAATTATTTCATGGAAAAAAATTATATCCATGAGGAAGAGCAGAGAATAAGCCCTGTGAAGGACCTTTATGAAAAATGGGGCTAGCTTTATATTCTATTTGATTAAAAAATGGGGGGAGAGAGGAAGAGTTAAAAAGCCGCAACACAGGTAGAAACCTGGCTCAGACAACTCAATTGTAATACTCATTTTGACTTCAAGAAAAGCAGGATTTTACCTATCATGTGACAGTTCTTATGACAAACTGAAAGAACAGTTCTTATGGAAGCTGAAAGAACTTTTCTATTACCTCCCTGTTGAATCTACTCTCCTTGTTCCTTCCACCTCTTTCACGCATTCCCCAAATCTCTAACTAGTAGGATAACTTTTTGTTTTCTCAATCAACTACTCTCCCTTGATTAGAACCAAGAACTTGCTTGACAGCATCGAGCTTGAGGAACTTAAAAAGCCACCATGATTGTAATACAGCTTCATTCCAGGAAGGCAAATAAATAAAATGATGCCATACACTATGCAGAAGCTGTGCAGGGCTGGTAATAATGCTCCGTGAAAGACATGAGGTCCATGAGGAGGCTTTTCAGATTATCATTAGATCTGTGTTTAATGGCTGGTACCTTACAAACAAACATCAGTAACTAGCTAATGAGTGGTAGAACATATATATATATAAATAATTTCTAACACCTCAGCACATCTGACTGGGGAAGCAGGGCAATCTTCCATCCTATGTGTTGAAGTAATCAGTAAAACAGCCACAAATTTATTAAAGCTATATCTAATACACACAGTAATAAAGTTGTGATAAATTCACTCTACCCAACTGCATTTGGACCAAAGCTCCCCCAGATGAGTAATTTTCTTTGACTCTCTCCTTATACTGGAATTTGTTTATAACAGTTCTTCAGTAGTATTTCTACCCCCAAAGAGCACTGCTGTCCTATTCTTTAGAGATTTAAAAGTAAAGGATCTGCTAAGGTTCATTCTTAGGGACAATAAATATCTGCCACTAGTATTTTTACTATTTGGCAATCAGGTTGGTACCAAAAGATCTGCAAAATTCAACCTCATCTCAGCATCCTGGCTCATTTGCTGAGTCTGTTTTACATCTATCAAAGAGCAGATTAACTTTAGTTGCTTGTGATGGGGGATAGGGTAGCTATCAGACATTTTCCTCTGTTTTTAATTCTTTGTATTTGATGATTCGTTCATCTTCTGATATTCAGAGACTTGTATATTATTCTGGAAAGGTCTTTTCGAGTGTAAATCTCCATGTTATTTGAGGTTACATACTCATGCTAGCAAACAAAGATAAGTACTAAAAAGCTCCATTCATTTTGTAAAAATAATTTTTGGTGTGTGTGTTTGTGTGTGCGCGCATACATATGTGCACACACATAGGCATATGTGCATGTGTTAAAAAACTTACTTCTATGGCTATCAAAAACCAATATGCTTCCATTTGTCTTTCCACACCATATTCCGGGAAGCCAGGAAAAAAATCAGTTTGTCAGGAAAAAAAATCAACAGGCTGTATATAATTAGGCTTTTACAGATTCTGAAATAAGATTTTTGAAAAATGCTTGTACCCACCAGATTGATACCTTTTCTATGATGTCACTACAAAATTTCTGGATAAAATGAATGGCTTCCTCTGACACCATTTGAATTTTCTAGATTATTTTTCTTTATACAGTAGATCTCAAATATATTGTTATATCCATTGTTCAGGGCAAAGGTGACTGCAACAGAATTAACTTCCCCAGGCATAACATTCATCTGTACAAGCACCAGTAAAAACAAAGCAACAGCAAGTGGTATAAACTAGAAAAAAATCTATTCTAGAACAAAACAACAAAGATATCACTGGAAAGGATAATATGTATACATGAACTAGAAAGAAATATTAGATTTAGCATTACTATTCACTTCTTAGTTTGGAATATATCATTTTTAGGTAAATCAGCTAGTTTCACTGGAGACAGAAAAAGTAATGCCATTTCTCTCTTACTTCCTCACAGGAAAAAAACAAGTTTCAGATTGACTTTTATTAGTAGATGTTTGGATTGGGAATCCAGAAAAGAGATGACAAAGCTGATATGGAAATACAAAGCGCCCGAGCGAGGGACTAACAATAGAGGGATGGGGGGGAGGAGGGGAACGCGACTAGGTTACAAGCGATACAATTACTACAAATGTTCTTAGTCTACAAGAGGCCAAGAAGATTGTTAGTCTCATAAAACAATATAAAGTACTCTGTCGCAGAGCACTTAGGTGCCCTGCTCCTTTAAAGAGCTGAAACTGCTAGGGAGAGAGCCTGAGCAGTGAGTGGGGAGCCCCAGCTGCTGGTTACCAGGGCAGCCAGAATGAGCTAGTTGGCTCACACCTGCCAGCGGTCAGCGGACCGGAAGGAGCAGGGCCTGGCTCACATATAAACCCCAGGGCTGAGACCAGGAGGGCAGTTCCCTGCCAACAGTCAAGGGGGAAGGAGCTTTCCCAGAGCAAGCAAAAGGGAGAGGCCTGACCGCAAGTGTAGCTTCTGGTACTGTTGAGGGACAGAGCATGCCCTGTATGGCTTGAATTATGTTATAGCCAAGCGGCTTGAGTTATGTTATAGCCTTGATGTTGATTTCTGTTTATAAGACCGGTGGTTTGGGAAGGAGGAGGCCTCATTGGGGGCCCACTGCAGCATGGGGACCCTGGCACCAGCGAGGGCGCGACACTAGGGGCTGCGGAGAGCCCAGGCACCAGTGAGGCACAGAGACAGGGCTGCAGAGAGCCCAGGTGCCAGTGAGGCACAGAGGCAGGTCTACAGAGAACCCAGAGAGGACAAGGGGGCCAATTCATACCAAGGCCCAGACCGAACAACATCAATGCCATCTGCGAGGCTTAGGGCATGGTAAAGGGATGGATGGAGCCCCACATATAGCCCATAAGGCTGGGGTGTCCTGTGACATCTGTTTTGAAGCGGAACCCACAAGAGGTCCAGGAACCCACAGGGTTCAGAGAGTCCATTAAACCGTATCCAAGAGGACTTAAAGGCAGCCTCCCTATACTATAAATCAATCAAGACATGGCAGGGGAGAAACTAGGGTGCTCAGTGGGCCAATTTGGCACAGTCGAGGGCCCTTAGGGGTAACGCAGCCATCCTTAGGGACCCTGTCCTGTGACAAAATTGGTGCATTGGCCGGGAAGTAAGGCTGTGCATGGGGAGGAACCCTGTGTCCCTAATTAGGGAAACAAACCTTTGGGCCAGTATAGAAATACAGTGAAGCAAAGTGAAAGGCAGTGGGACCAGGGCTCAGAAAGACAAGCCGAGGTTGCAGAATAGACTGCTGTTAAGAGACTGTAGAGGGGAAGATGTTAGGCCTGGGCTAGGAAAAGAGTAGGGCCAGGAAGAATCATGACCAAAGTAAGGGCTCTGGAGGGTATGCAGCAAGAAGCTTTCACCTGGCAGTTGCAAGTGGACAAGGTGGAGGAAAGGGCTGCTCATCTACAGCATGAATTGGAGATGGTGAAATCCCAAAAGGAGCGAGCCAAGGCGAAGGTGGCCGCTTTAGAGCTGCGGGCGCAACCCGGGAAGAAAGAAGGCGGGTCGAAGGAAATCAAGCGCCTGCTCGCAGCAGAGGCGGAAAAGACTCGAGCGCTGGAACAGCTCATGGCAAAGGAGGCTGAGAAGAGCAAACAACGAGAGCAAAAATGGTGAGAGATGTAGAAGGAGATGGCCGAATGGAGGATCAAGTCTTCTGAACCCAGTATAGACCAAGCGGGGGAACAAAAGGATGTTCTGTAGAAGCTGGAGATATCAAAGAACCTTATAGGAGTCCTCCAGAAAGAAGTCCACAGCCAGGTGGATCAGGTAGAAGAGTTGCAGGAGGAGTTAAAGGGCTGGTAACTGAGATGCAGGCAAGCCGAACACCATGTGGAAGAGCTGCGAGACAAGCTGGTTAAAAGCCATGTCCAGGCAGAGGAAACAGGGAAGGTGATATTAAAAGAAAAGGAGAAAGTCAAAGTTTATATGGTGAATTACAAAACATTGCAGAACCAGAAACAGTCCCTTGAAATGGAAGTAGAGACTAAGAATAAGAAGTGTTATGGACCCAGTTGCAGGGAGTGGAGGCAGGCAAAGACCGACTTGGGGAAGAGATACAGCGCCTGAAGACCCTGTTGGAGGAGGGCGCAACCAGGGAGATGCCATTGCAGGCAGAGGTAGAGCAACGAGCAGTATGGACCCCTCAACCACGAGAAGACAGTCTGGTTTCTATAGGCAGACAGTTGGGAGAACATGCATCCAGGGCTAATGCAGAAAGCCAGGAGCATTTACAGGAGTTTGAAGGCTTGAAAGAGTTCTTAATAAAGACCCCACCGCCAGAGAGGACGCAGCATTTGGGGCGCACAGACCCCAGCGCCAGAGAGGGCACTGCATTTGGGGTGCATAGACCCCAGTGCCAGAGAAGGTGCAACACTAGGGGCTGCGGAGAGCCCAGGCACCAGTGAGACACAGAGACAGGGCTGCGGAGAGCCCAGAGAGGACAAGGGGGCCAATTCATACCAAGGCCCAGATTGAACAATGTCAATGCCATCTGTGAAGCTTCAGGCATAGGAAAGGGGTGCTTGGAGTCATGCATATAGCCCATAAGACTGGGGTGTCCTGTGACATCTATTTTGAAGCAGGACCCTCAAGGGGTCCAGGAACCCACGGGGTTCAGAGAGTCCATTAAACCATGTCCAAGAGGACTTAAAGGCAGCCTCCCTATACTATAAATCCATCAAGACATGGCAGACAAGAACCAAGGGTTCCCAGCGAGCCAAACTGGCATGGTTGAGGGGCCTTAGGGGTAATGCAGCCATCCTTAGGGACCCCATCCCGTGACATACTCTCACTAAAGAAATGACTGATAACTTATTTCTAGGGTGAAATCCTGGCCCCAGTGAAGTCAATAGGGACAGCAATTATTCTGAAAATTCACTTAAAATATAACATTTTCATCATATGTGCCAATGTTTAACCAATTTATATAGCCATATAAATTAAAATAAATTAAAAGACCTACCAACATATTTCAAAATGTCTTGCAAATGAAGCCATTGAGATGAGATTGGACAAAAATAAGATAAAACCTATGCTCTCATTGAAGATAGACATTACAGATTCATCACTTAAGGATTAACAAATATATGGCTGCATCCACATGAGATGCTGACTGCGCAGTAGCATCGTGTGGCAACAACCATGCTAGTGCGCAGTAGTATTAGGCTACTGCGCAGTAACACCACGAAAAAAGGTATTCATCGATGCTACTGCACAGTAACTCAGGTTACTGCATTAACTCGCAGTAATGACTACACAGTCTGCATTTCATGTAGATGTGACCTGCATCTTATCCAATCTGTCCCAGTTGCTGGAGTTTTTTAATGGAATCAGGAGTTGTTTTCTGCCTTGTAACCAAAAATAATACAGTAGTATTATTTTTAAAGAGTATCCTTTATTCCATTAGATCAAAACAAAAAAACTCACAAAAAAATAGAGGGCTGAAATAATGCGCATTTCCTAATCATAGACCCATCTTATCTCCCTCTTGAGCTGAGTTCCCCTAAAGCTACTGACTATGCAAACATAAAAAATGCCAACCGTTTTTATGGAGTCACTCAGAGCTTCCCACCGCTGGAATGGAATAGCAATTTTGCTTTGTCGCCAGTAATCATAACGAGCTCGACTCTCTTCATTAGTCAGAATCTCCTTTGCCTGCTGCAACTTCTGAAAATTCTCCACTAGAAACAAACCAAGATGATGAACTCAACTTTTAAAGAAATTAATTTCCTTGTGGAACAAAAACTGCCATCAATTATTAAACTTCCGGCTGGGGTTGGAAAAAAGAAAAGATGATGAAAGTATGTGTTAGCTCTTCCCACAACTCTGATAAAGTCTTAACTGACTTCAGGAGCTAACATCTTCAGGAGACAACTGATGTCCTCTTCCAAGTGAATGTTTCCTAGCAAATCAAATGTCAAATAGTTCTGACTCCTGGTCTACGAGAGCTACAAAGGCCATACAGTATTCAAGGCAAAATGTACAAATTTCTTCCCCACAGATAGATCATTTTAAAAAATGGCATCCCAGTGGAATACGAGCCCTTCACAACACATGAAGAGACAGTAAAAAGGAAGTATAAATGACAGCATCTAAGCAGCAAGTAGAAGAATCTTAATATGGTATCTGCTAGCTAACTTGACTGCTTAACTGTACCTTTTTCTATATATAATATTGTATTAATTAAAATACCAGCTTATATGAATAAGATCTTTTTTCCTGTAGGAGCAAAACTTCATTATGAGATGGTTACTAAGGATGCAGCTGCATGTTGCTGTTTGTGTAAAGGTTATAACAATTTACATTTTATCTATGAGTCACTCTTGTTATAATGATTCATAATTATTCTTATACATTTATTCCAGTTTACAAATATAGAGACTTCTTTTGAAACATGATGAACCCAAACACTAATCAACATTGAAAAGCAGAAATCAACCAACAATGAACAGAATGTTTTTCCTAGTATGTTTCCTTTTTCCAGTGCAATCATTTTGTAGCAATAAAAAGCAGCTTTGTTATTCTTGAATAAGGTAGTAATTAAATGAATCACACAAAGTAAACTTCCACCAGTACTGTCAAAATGTAAGGCATTTAATTGAAAGTTCACTTAAATGAAGCATAAACATTAGCTCTTAATATTCAAGCCCTCTCCAATTATTTGGATCTTGGGTTCCTTTTTTTAATCAATTTACGTACATTTAAAACTACAAATTCCAAACAACAGGCCAGATTCTGGTGTCATGTGAGATTTCAGCTCTCCACTGAAGTCCATGTGATAGCTGACTTCTGTTGATGTCAGAATTTAGTCCATTGTTACTGGAATATATGACGTCAGTTAGTAAAAGATGGACTTTTCCCAATGAAAAGGTTATGGAAGGGCCCCAATCAGGTTGTCTTAGAGTGAAGAATCTCAACTACTTAATTTCTTTCTTCTCTTTGTCAGTCTGCTGGATCTGGACTGATATTTCACAAAGACCAGGAGAGCCAAGTGCAACTCAGTCCCACACTTGTGCTATTCAAAGGGAAGAGCAATACTTTCTTTCATTCACTCTTTTGGAGTCTTGTGAAGCCCCCACCTCTGCTAGCCAGAAGAGGAGGGCTGATGAGAACTCAGACTTATGTCTCTTAGCTAGTCACTGCCACTGTGGCCCTGTACAGGCATTATGTTTCAACCAGTAGAGTCACCACTGTCCTGGCAGAAACTACAAACATACAAGTGTTCATTCAGTTTCTCCTAGGGGGAAAACATCCTCTCCCCACTCCAGGAGAAAGATCTTCCAAGTGTCAACCTGGAAGATATCCCTTGTGAAAGAAAGTCTCTCACAAGAAAGAACCGTTGTGTGCTCCCCTCCCAGTCCGCTCCAGGAGCGAAGGGAAGCTATGGGACAAAACCCCCTGCACCCATTCCGTAGACCAGGGATTCCCAGTTCAAGGAGTGGGCAAGGAACTTCAGTGGCTGCTCCAGTCTCCTCCCAGACCGGTCTGGAAAGGGAGTGGAGCAACTACTTTTTGTCCCACCCACTCCCCAGACCAGGGATCACTGGTCTGGAGAACAGGCAGGGAACTTTTCCTTGCTGCCTTAGTCCCCTCCCAGACAGGTCTGGGAAAGGACTGGGGCTGCTGTTGCTCCCCATACCTACCCCAACTGGTGCAGAGACCAGGAGAGAAGGGGCAAGTTCAGACTGAATGTTTATACTGCTCCTTTCTCTGGAAAGATTTCTTAGGGTAGACATTTCTCAGAAATGTCCACCACTAGAAATGAATGTCTGTTCAAAGCCAAAGTTGTCAGACTGTCTCTAAAAACTGACAAAAAAAAAGGAAGTTGCTTGTATCGGCTGAAATGAAACAGTGTATTAGTCATTCTGGAATATTTTTAATGGTTTTAAAAATTCAGCCCTCTTGAGTTGACCACACCTTAAATTGGGAAAAACCAGATCTTGCTTTCACTCTCCTTTCTCCATAGGCTGTTATTTTCAGAAGGGATACAAGGGAACTGAAATTTCAAATGAAATTTGACTACCTAATTCCCTTAGATTTAAAAAATCCCAGTTATAAAGTATCACCTAACTCTAGGAGGGGTCCTACTGACTTCCGCATGAAGAGTATGGTACTGAATCGAGAACAGAGTTTCTGGGTGGATTATCAGAAATGTGCATCAGAGAGCCTGCTGCCTTCCTGCCTTCCAGCACGTATCCAATAGTAAGTGTTAAGTGTCACCAAATTAACCTTTGTTTGCATTTACTTTTAATGTAAACATGCTATAATTTCCATGATATAGTCCTACAAGATTTGGGTACATAGATGCACTAGTCCAAGGACACATGGTTTTAAAGGCCAGAGGAGACATAGCTTAACAAATAATATAAGGCAGCACTATCCACCTGACAGCCTGCAGGCCACATGTGGCCTGCAAGTGGTTAAGTTGTCATTCCCCACCCCCCCGACAAGGCTTTCACCCAACTCCCCTTCATTGCTCTGGCTACAACAGCAGTGGAAGTCTCCCAGTTCCCACTCCTCCAGCTGCCACTTCCTGCCCCATCACCTTGGGTAAGGGCAGTGTGGCAGTGAAGGGAGCTAAGCGTAACTCCAGGCCATGTGCAGGAAGCAAACGGTGAGGACAGGAATTGGGCCACGCAGGGTAGCAGTGGCAGGGGGGAAACTGGTAGAGCAGTAGGGGGTGCCACTACCAATGTGGGCATGCATTGCAGCAGGGTGGCAGAACTGCACCTGTGTGGTACAGCGGGGGAGGGAGGGAGCATGCAGCACTGAGCTGCAGTGCTCGCACAGAGCAGCATAGCAGAGTGTCTGTAGCACACAGCCTAGTTGCCTGTGGGCTCACCTGATACAGCCTGAGCAGTTCTGCCTGGTGTGGGCCTTGGGCCTTACAAGTTGGACAGACCTAAGATAAAGTATATGAAGTATTCACATGCTTTGGATCATTGATAATAATGTGTATAAATGGCAAGTTTGTATCAGAGTATCTCAAGTCATTGCCATTGGGGTTAGAATGAAAGCTTTTAGGTGTCAGGTTTTTTAGCTGTACATTTCCATAATTTAAAATATTTGCTGTTGGGTCTTCAGAGAGCTGCCTGCTCACATGATACTGGCTCTGCTTTATTTTCAGATGTTAAGTTACGTGAAAAGGAGCTGAAGTACATTAAACAATTGCATTGTGTATTTTTCTATGTAAGCAATTTCTGTAGCTGACATAATTACATCAGTTGCTTGCCACTGGGAGTGCAGATAGTCCAACCAAACATGCACAGGAAGAGGTGTGGTCTACAAGACAATCTGGGGATGAAAATGTGTTCCATCCTATAAAACAGTTTGAGAACCCTGAAATAAATAATCAAATGTCTTCCAGCTCTAGCATTTATTCTTAAGTTTTACAACTTAATACTGAGACTTACTATTTAAAAAATGTATGAAAATCATAGAATATTAAAATGAGAAACAAGGATGTTTGCTTATGTTTTTAGGCTGCATTCAATAACCTAATCATAAATTAGAGAAAAAAAAAGATTTATTTTAAACAGGAAAAAATACCTACCAGCTTTAGAGTTTCCAGGATGTTTGTCAGGATGACATTCCAGGGCTTTAGCCTTAAACTCAGCCTGAATTTGTTCAACCTAAATAGAATGTAAAGAATACAAATAAATACAATGCACATGCATATGGAGGGTTTTTAGAGTTTTGCCTTTAGGGGGTGAAAGTCAGTGAAAGGATAATGCACAGTGGAGGGTTTGTCATTTTACTCCTTCAGTTCATAAGATGCTATACACAGGCAGTCCTCTGACTTATGACACAATTGGTTCCTGAAAACCGCGTCTTAAGTCGAAACGTCGTAACTCGGAACCAATTTGTCATAAGAAACAATGTTGTAAATGAAGGATTGGTTCCTGAACCAAGGCCCAACACCCTATTTTCACTAAAAATACCCCAGAATTTTGTACTCGATCAATTATAGATGAGTAATATAGCTATATTAATGTATTTATATTGTAAATAGCAATCATATCGATTTGGAAGGACTTCTTTGAAGTGACTTTGCTGGACTTTTTGAAAGTCTCTTGGCTGGACTTTTTGAAGGGTTCTTGGCTGGAGTCTTCTCAGGAGTCTTGGCTCCAGGTTATTCTGGAGTCTTGTCTGCTTTCTTAAAGAAAGTGTCCAAGGAAGTTTGGACAGTTGTTCTCCAGGGAGATAAGTGATGCAGCGAACTTGTTTGCTGGTGTGGCATCACATCAGATCAAGCATTGTAAAGTCAAAAATGATGTCATAAAGTTGAAATGGTGTCAATTTATAAACATTGTAATTACAAAACGTTGTAAGTCAAAATGTTGTAAGTCGAGGACTGCCTGTACTCAAAATATATAAGAAACATTTGGCACCTATATCACTAGTTGAATTTCAGGAACCTTCAGGAGTTCACACTTCCAAGAACCATTTCTATGCTTTTATCTGTATATATACCACATGTGAACTTCAATTTTTCTTCATATTATTTAGCTAGATCTAAATATGAAACTAGCCCCATTGCAGAGGGCACATGCAAGAACTACATCACTGAACCCCTATGTTATGGGAAGAGCTTTCCACAGATCCCCTGTGTTGGCAGTTGATTTATGATCCAGAAACTTTGTTCCAAGCAGACCCAAACCCTCAGACTGCCCACAACCTCTCCATTTGATAACAGGCAAATTTTATTGATACACAGTGATAGCACATAAGAATAATGGAAACAATTCTATATCTATGAGTCCTAGGACTGTCACAGAGGAAAGGTACATCTGGCTAGTATGCAAGCTTCACTCTTAGGTTCTTTCTTGAATGTCATATGTCAGCATCCTGGAGTGGGAGGGCTGAAGCCTTCCCTGCTCTCCCTTCGTCCCATGGGGTGGGTGAGACAGGCTGGTAGTGTGCTGTCTGTCCATGGTGGCCTTGGGTTCCCCTCTAGGGGATCCTTTGCTGCTCTGAAATCCCTCCTTTTGTATCCTTTTCCTCTGATGACTCTAAATCTCTGGGCACCATTCATTGGTCTTCCTGAAAACATCATACTGTCCAAATTCTGTCCTATCAGCATGTTCCTTTGTTCCAGCA